GGCTGAGGGCGAGATGGGAGTTGGACCACCTGACGGGGTCTGGTGGAAGACAGGGAGGTGTTGGCTGCGAGCTCCGAAGCTGGGCCGGAGGCTGGGAGGAAGCTGCAGCCCACGCTGCTGGAGAGAAGCAGGCGTGTAGAGGGCTGGTATCCTGGCCCAGATGCGGATGCGTGAGAGAGCGCAGAGGGATGAGCGCAAGCAACCTGAACGTCGGCTGGCGAAGGAAGAGGCACCCCTGGTGTGAGCTGGGAGGGCTCCCATCGCGCAGTGAAAGCCAAAGTGAGGCAGGAGGGTCGGTCATAGGGCGCACACCTCTGGGAAGGGCCTGGGCTGCACTGGGAAATCACTGATGGCCCGTCTAGGGGTTCTGCCCCCTTCTGTCCACTCTTGGAGTTTCAGGCCAAATTTGTGTGCAAGTCAAGGGCAGATTCAATGACTTAGTGCCCTATGGAGAGAGCAAAATGTCCCTTCTGTCTGAATCCTGGGTAGGGGGTGGTGGATGGTGGTCTTTCCTTCTAAACACACCTGCCTCTTTCCTGACCCCACTTCACACCTTGCCTGTGTCTCCCGTCTGCCTAGAGGCCTTTCCTCCCTTTTGTTTACTTGCAGAACTACTCAGCCTCCAAGACCAGCTCAGGGCTATGGGCAGAAGGCCACATTAGTTCTGGGTTTTGTTGTTGTTTTCTTTTTTAAACATTTATGTGTGTGTGGGGGTGAGCACATGCCATGGTGCACATGTGGGAGTTTGTTCTCATCTTCCATCTTTTTTTTTTTAAAGATTGGGTCTCATTCTGTAGTCCTGGTTATCCTGGAACTCACTATGTAGACCAGACTGGCCTTGAACTCACAGAGATGTGCCTGCCTCTGCTTTCTGAGTGCCAGGACTAAAGATGTGTGCCACCATGCCCAGCTTTTCCTTCCATCATGTGGGTCCTGCGTTAGAACTCAGGTTGTCAGGCTTAGAAGCAGGCACCTTTACCCTCCGTGTATTTTTAATTATGTGTATGTGTGCCCGTCTGTGTATGGGTGTGTGTATGTTAGTGAAGGTGCCTGCGGAGACCAAAAGTGCCAGATCCCAGACTCTCATAGTCCTGAGGGTGGCCAGGAGGCTGGGGACAGAAGCCCACCACTGGGACTACAACTGTCCAAGCCATATCTAATCTTCCCACCCGGATCTGGATTCCAGCCACTCCTCTCTTCCCCTGAGCCAACATCTTGGCCCACGAAGCCTCTTTATCTCTCCCACCCCTCACCCACAGCTCCATCCCCAGCCTGCCTGTTGCCCTCTTCACTTCAGTGGCTCCTCTTCTTCTAGAGACAAGGCTCACACTCCCTGGCTCAACCTGGCCTGGACTTGTGGCTGCTTGTATCATTTCCAGTTCCCACCTGCCACCACAGTCTGGTGAGCTTTGCGGAGTTTGCAATATGGGCCTCTCTAGATCCCAGGCCTTCACACACACCAACCCCCTTTCACACTTGCCTGAAGCTCATCCACCAGAATATCTAACCCAGACCTCACCTCCTCTAGGAAGACACCTGAGGTTGGACTTCCTCTGGGCCCCTGTGAACTCTGATCCTTCTCCCTCACATCTCCAATGACTCAGTTTGCATATAAGGCTCTAAAATAGCACTGCCTAATAAATATAATGTGAGACAAACACAATGTGAGATGTTGAAGAAGCCACATTAGGAAAAGTAAAATGAAAGGCCAGGGAGATGGCTCAGGAGGTAAAAACTGCAACCCAAGCTCAGTGCCAGAACTCATAGGTGTGGTGGTGCATATCTGTAATCCCAGCACTCCTTTGGTGAGATGGGAGGTGGAGATAGCAGAATTGCCTGGAAGCTCAAGGCCAGCTAGCTTGGAATACACAGTGCAGGAATAGAAACAAGAGAGACCCTGCCTCAACAAGGTGGAAGGAGAGAACTTACTCTTGAAAGTTGTCCTCTGACCTCCACATGCACACCATGACATACATGCACCTGAGCCCCCCAACACACAAAATAAAAAATAATTTTAAAAAAGTAAAATGAAGCAGGTAAATTTAATTTTCTTTAACCCAATATATTAAAAACATTATCATTTAACTAATACAAAATGACTGAGGAATTTTATCATTAGTATTGATGAGGTGTTTACATTTTTTTTCCTGCACTGTCTGTAAACCATATACACTATAGTGTACACTTAGAGCACATCTCAGCTTGGACTAGCTATACCTCAAATGCTCCAAAGCCACATGTGGCAGTGAATGGCTACTAGAGTGGACAGGGCAGCCATGAGCCTCTTAAGCCAGGAGCCTACCTTGTGGGTCCTGAGTACCTAGTGTGCTTGGTCCAGGCAAGAACAGCCTAGGACAGTGTGGGAGTCCTGGGCTGGAAGCTCGACTTGGCCCCTTAACAGCTGTTACACTGGCCGATCCCAATGGGTCTGCTCTCTAAAGTAGTGATGAAAACATTTTCAATATGGTTCAGAATGTTAACATAAATGAAGTATTTGTACAAATGAGCTTATAGATTTTCAAGGAGACGTGCTGAAAGTAAGGGAAAAAACCAGTGGGACAACACAGATGAACCCTGGAAACAAGCTGGGGCACACAGAGAAAAGGCTATGCCGGCCCCAGTGAGACAGTGACTGCAAGCTAGGCAGAAAGAGACTTCGGGAGAAAAAGCTGCCAGTACCTTCGGAGTGCCTTGGCTATGTGGGGACAGGCACTCCTTTCCTACATCCTCTCCCTGGCCTCCTGCAGTGAGTGAATTTGAGGCCTGCCCCTACCCACCCCCAGCCTCCTCCTTGAGCCCTGATCTTGTTGAGGTCTGCCGCTGACTGCTCTGGCCTGAAGGCTTTGGAGCCCCCTGAGGGAGGGATCATGTATTCCGGTGATGCTCTATAGAGGTACGGCAGGGTGAATGGAGGGCCAGGTCGCTGGCAATGTCATTCACTGTTGCCCACTGATCTCTGGAGTTCAGGAGCCGGTTATCTGCTGGGCTCTCCTGTCTTCTGCCATGCTAGTGGGCTGGAGCCCAAGACTACTTAGGCTATGTGGACTGTAGGGTCAAGGAGGCCTGGCTGGCATCCTCTTCTCTCCTTTCTTTTCCCCTAGGGATCTTGCCCCTTGAGGGACCCCTTTACACCCAAATCTTGAGTGGGTAGTGATCATGGTACCACCCCCTCTAGACAGAGGACAGGGATGTGATTCTTCTCACCTCTGTCTCCAGGACATGGCTGGGTGCAAGACAGGGCATCTGAGGCAATAAGGGCACAAAGAAATATCTGAAATTGTACAGTAGAAGTCACATAGGGCTAGCGGAGCAGTGTCTTCTGGGAGCAGATAGGTCATGGCCTTGTCAAGAAGTCTATGTGGAGTTTAGACATGGGAGGCTGAAGAGGGGATTCTGTAGTGGACAGTGAGGTGGCTGGGAAGTAGATCATGCTGTGGAGCAGAGTAGTAGAAGGGAGAGCTTCCATTTATTGGTCATTTACTGTGTGCACCTCTGACCTCACTGGCTTCCCACTTCTGTCACCCCCAGGACAGATGAGAGACTGAAACTTAGACTGTTTCAGAACTTCCCCAAAGTTACACACCCATAAGAGCCAGAGCTGAGCTCATACCCTGGTCACTGGGCCCCAGAGCCTGCTGTCCAGGATCACTCTCAGCCCTGCTCTCCAGGGTCACTGTCCATCCCCCTCCTTGCCCCCGCCACCACCAAGTTTCCCAGATCCTCCCAGGACTGGCTCTGGTCAGACTCCTCTAGCTGCTGCACATTTTCATTTCCTGTGGGAGTGGTGGGAGAGATCCAGCCTGGCTTGTATGCTAGTGATCACTCCACTCAGGAGTGGACACCAGGGCGTAGACACTCGCCAGTGCACGTCCTGGCCACTTCATGGAGTGTTACCATGAAGAGTCACTGTAGTAGTGACAGCAGCTCCTATTGCTGAAGAGACACCAGATGCTGTGTCTGTTGTCACGCTGCCTCCTCACAGGAACATGAGTTTAGCATTACATGGTACAGATGAGGAGGCCAAGGCCCAGAAAGGGTGCAGTAAAGTGGGTCTGTGGGACCTCAGATAGTGTCCTCACTACCACTTTGTAATGAGAACTTGGGAACCCAGCTCTGAGCTAAGACCCAGGCTGTGGGACCATGGGGACAATGGCACCTCAGCATCATCCTCTGCCTGGAACCCATCCCTGATGTACTGGGGATCATCTACAGGGGCGGTGGTCATGTCAGACCCTGGTTAAGGCAGCTGAGTGACTAACCATCAGAAGTGGAACTCAGGAGGCCATGGGACAACTGTAGCCCCAGCCACCTCTTTGCCAGGCTTTGGGTTCACTCAGTCTGTACCTACACTCAGGGAATTATTCAGCCTGAGTTAAAAAAAGCCATCTTTGAGTGTTCACAGCCCAACTTAACTGACACTAAGCCCTAGGCAATCCCAGACTCTCCCCCTCTACACTGTAACACTGGAGTTGTTTCTTGGAAATCAATAATTGTACAAGAAAGGTGGAGGGCATTACGGGCAGAAGGAATAGCATGTACAAAAGTCTGGAGGGACCACTGAGCAGTCCTGTATAAGTGAGCTGGTGACAGGAGAGGGAGCTGGAAGAGCAGCAGGGCCAGGTCCTGAGGATCTCACAGTGGAAGCCTGAGCTTTGGGCACACCTGCTAGGGGAGGGACAAAAGCTTGCCACATGGCCTTTGTCGGGGTATCAGGAATTTAGCAAAATCCAGGTCTTGCCTCGGCTTCCTTTATGTGAAATTGGGTTGCAAATTCCTCGGGACCCAGACTGATATGTGTTGCGGAAGGTTTTGCAGCCTTGACTAAGGACAGGGCTTCATGACTCTCCCACCCTTACAGAGGGCAGCACCCATGGGAGAGGGTGGCAGATTGCAGTCAATGGAGTCCTATCATGACCACCAAGGGCCCTAGCCGCATGTGCAATGTATGTGACCAGTGAATCACCTGGCACCGAAGTGGGCCTGAGCCATTTCTCTTGCAGGCACCATGGCCCAGAGCAAGGGCCTGCTGTTCCTACTGCTGTTGCTGCTGCAGCTGCTCCTGGGCCCCGTACTCTCTGTGAGGGCACCTGTGTTTAGCCGAAGTAGCACCCACAGCCTGAGCCCTGAGGAAAATGAATTTGTGGAGGAGGGGCCTGTACTGGTCCTGAGTCCCGAGGAGCCAGAGCCTGGCCTGGCCACCATCGACTGCCCCCGAGACTGTGCCTGCTCCCAAGAGGGTGTTGTGGACTGTGGTGGCATCGACCTGCGGGAGTTCCCAGGTGACCTGCCAGAGCACACCAATCACCTGTCTCTGCAGGTGAGGCTGGTGTGTCAGCAGTTCCCCACTGCTTCTGTCCCCTGAGACTGCTGACCCTGAACCCCCAACATTGTTACACAGATCCTGCTTACCCAGAACTTCAATTCTCATGGCTCCTCATCCTGATTCAGGGTTCCAGGGCAGGTCAGATTCATGGAGTCCTGGTCCCCCGCTTAGGGCACCCCAATACCCTAGTCACAGAACCCTGAAATACAGCCTGCTAGTTCATGGGAGGAGTGTGCACTGAGGCCCAGCCTGGCAGCTGCCCCCCTCTTGAATAGACAGGACAGCACAGACACCATTGCAGGGCTAGAACAAGGGGACCCAACTCCAGGACACAGTGGGCTCAGAACCCCAGGTGCAGGCCCCTACTGAGGACTTCCTGACTGGGTGGACCCCAGTGTATCACAGGTAGTTCTAGGGGAAGAGGGGAGATGGCTACATCCTCTCCAGAGGAGATCCAGTAAGGGTAAGTGATCTGCCCTTGGTCACTCAACACTGCTGGGCTGGGCTGGTAGTTGTGGTGGCCCATGAGAGCAAAGGACAAGTTGAGGATAGCTCTTATTGTAGGCGCATTTGCTCACCCATCCATTCACACACAGACTGTCTCAGGTACCTGCTGGATGCCTGTGGTTCTGTGTGGGATGCTAGGTATGTAGGAAGGATGCAGGTTCCCCTGCCCCTCGGGTACTCACAGTGTGTGAATGAGACAGAGAAGTAGGTAAACAGAGAAGTCAAACAGAGCTAGAAGGGCCTGTACTGTGGGACCCAGAACATGTTCCTTATCTAGCTCTGAAGGCTTTCTGAAACAGGTGGTCACAGATCTAGTGTTCCAAGGAAAGTGGGGACTTGCAGAGCCAAAGAAAGGGAGCTAAGTGGCTTCTGCTTAGGGAAGAGCTGCAGATGACTGTCACCAAGTACATATACTTGAGGCAGATCTAAAGGGAAGATGGTCCAAAGCAAGTATGACCTGCAAGTGGATGTCCACATGTGGGCCCTTTAAGAGTGGAACTCATTCATCTCTCAGCTCACTGCTATGTACTTGGGGTTGGTCTGCCTCAGGAAAGAATTCCAAGGTGGATGCCCAAGAAAGGGATACTCCTAGGCCTGGGGTCCAGGATAGGCACAGAAGCCCACGCATCCCCACCCTACCCCAAACTGCTGCTGCCCTGTCTCTTTCCAGAACAACCAGCTGGAGAAGATCTACCCCGAGGAGCTGTCTCGGCTGCAGCAGCTGGAGACACTGAACCTCCAGAACAACCGTCTGACTTCCCGAGGTGAGGGAACCCCAGAGCTGGGACCTCGGGGCCTGAGTGGCATGGGGGCCATGGAGAAAGCTTGGCCTTGCAGACCCTGGGTTAAAGGAAAGCCCAGGCCTGGGCTGGACTGGCAGTGGGGCTCCTTGCTGTGGGCCAGAGCCAGCCCTGCATGCTCTGACACCCAGGAGGTGGGGCTTGGAGCCTTCAGAACAGCAGGCTTTCTGGGACCTTGTCATAGACTTTCCACTTTGCAAGGGCCCTTAGAATCAAAGAGCAAAAATTTAAGTTACTCTTTTTTTGTGAAGATGAACCTAGCATATGATTAGGATAAAGCATTTGGAAAATAAAATAGAAAGAAAAAAACACAGTTCTGCCACTGAATCCATTACTATTGACATTTTACTATTTTCTTTCCATTTTAAAAGAAAGCAGTTTTATGGAGATGTAATTTATGAACTACATGTCATGCAATTTAAAAGTTCAGTTTGATGGGTTTCAGTAAGTCTATATAGTGTACAACCATCCCCATGACCTGGCCCAGGCGTTTCTTCATTTTTAAATTGGTAGCTGAACTACAATAGCTGTGTAGGCTGCTTTGTCTCACTTAGTTGTTTATTTCTGTCATTGCTCATGCTCTCACTGGCCACCAGTTCACACCCTGCAGCAGGGTATTCCATGGGGGACACTCCATGGTTTATGTAACTGTTCCCTCTCTTTAGGCTTGGGCCTGTTCCAGCATCTGGGGGTCCTGGAGACGGAACTGAGTGTCAGAGGCCAGCTCAGGGCTGGAGAGAGGCCAGTCTGGCTGGTCTCCCAGCAACATGACATCAGTCAGAGGGGGCAGGAGTGAGCCAGGTGGTGCCTTCTGAGGCCTTCCCCTAGCACAGAGCCTAGTCTCAACTCTGCTGTACCTGCTCATAGGTGGGGCTGAGATTGAAAAGAGTGTCTTTGATGCCCCCTGCAGCCATCCCCAAGGGAGTACTCCTTCCGGGCTCAAAGGGTTAGGCTAGGTCACTCAGTCCCTCAGCAGACACTTAGCTGCTTGCTTCTGTGCTTGGGCCATGTGAGAGGGAGAAAACAAGCAGGGTAGACAGACCCAGAGGAGCAAGTTTTGACTCCTCCCTGAATCTTAGCAAGTGGGGTGGCTCGCCTGCTCCCCTGTAGCATCTCCTTCATCTAGGACTCTGACCTGTCCTTTGAAGGGCTTCCGGAAGAGGCATTCAAGCATCTGACCAACCTCAATTACCTGTACCTGGCCAACAATAAGGTGAGGGCCATTGAGGGTGGGTGGGCTGTTGTGCCCTCCCGGTGTTCTCGTCCCCTGAGCTCCGTGATTATTCCCCAGGACTTCTTCCAGTCTGGCCTCTGGGTCTCTGTTGCCCTAGAAATTGGGAAGGGAACATAGACCCACTCCTCTGACCCAGAGTGTCAGAATGTGTCGGGTAACAAAGAGGCCAGGGCCTCCAGCATGCAGAGGAGAGTTGTGGGCACTTGGGGGACTTCTTGGAGGAAATGGCATTTGAGCAAAGCAATAAAGGGTAGGTAGATTCTACCCTGTGCCCAGGGAAGGGCTATACAGTTGAGATGGCATGCTCCTGCGGTCCCAATATTCAGGCATGAGGTAGGAAGATCAGTTGAGTCCAAAAATTTGAGATGAGCCTGAATAACATCTGAGACCCTGTCTCAAAATTGATGTAAGTGAGCAGTAAGCAGGAAGGATGGCATGACTGAAGCTTGTCTTCCCTCCACCCCTGGGCTAATCAAAAGTCACACCCTGTTCCTGTTCTCTATGCCCCCAGGATGAATCCAGGGCCTTGATTGTCAAGCTGAGGCTGTGAGAGCTGGACACATTTTGGTTTTGCTTTATCAAAGGATGGAATGGGCTACAGAAATGGCTCAGCAGTTACTAGCACTTTCTGCTTTTCCAGAGGACCTGAGTTTGGTCCCCAGCACTCACATTGGCAGCTCACAACCATCTCTAACTCCAGTTCCAGGGTATCTAACGCCCTCTTCTGGACTCCGCTCAGCAGCCACCCTTATGCCCTTGATTGTCAAGCTGAGGCTGTGAGAGCTGGACACATTTTGGTTTTGCTTTATCAAAGGATGGAATGGGCTACAGAAATGGCTCAGCAGTTACTAGCACTTTCTGCTTTTCCAGAGGACCTGAGTTTGGTCCCCAGCACTCACATTGGCAGCTCACAACCATCTCTAACTCCAGTTCCAGGGTATCTAACGCCCTCTTCTGGACTCCGCTCAGCAGGCACCCTTATGCACACACACACACACACACACACACACACACACACACACACGTGTGCATGTGCATACACACGCACACAGACACAGGGGCAAGAGGGAGAGAGAGAATTTTTACTTTAGACAATTAGCTCTGGTTTCGGGGAAGATCCAAGTAAGGGGCGCAGATGAGTAGCCAGTGGCACAGGCCAGTGCTAACCTCTGCCCCTTCACTGGTCTTTCTGCCCCACTCTTCCCTTTCCAGCTGACATTGGCACCTCGATTCCTGCCAAACGCTCTAATCAGTGTGGACTTTGCTGCCAACTATCTCACCAAGATCTATGGACTCACCTTTGGTCAAAAGCCAAATTTGAGGTCAGAGGTCAGAGGGATGATCCTGGGCTTTGGGGACTATATGTGTGTGGGATGACTGTGGAGGGGTGGAGGGGAGCTAAGGTACTGCAATCCCTCTTTCAGGAGACAGAGGCAGGTCCTGAGGAGGAGCTTGCTGTGCAGCAGGCTACAGGCTCTACTTGGGACTGTGGTAGAGGGACACCCAGGGCCTGGGGGAAACTCAGGATCTAGAGGTATAAGAATAAGGGGGCTCTGCCCAAGAGATGAGGAGTGACAGCCTAGCCTATGCCTGTGTGGGGTGTGGGTGGAGGGAGCACCTTTCAGCAGGCAGAGCTGCCCTTCCCTGGAGCTGCTTAGGGAAGTGTGAGCATCCCCCTGGCACACTGGGCTTCATACAAAGAAATTTGGAAAGGGATCAGGAAGTACTTTTTCTGCCACTAATTTATGTGGTGATTTCTGAGAGAGTGCTGACCCTCTGTGGTCCCTGTGCATCACCATATAGGTGGGGTCTGAAGCTCTTTAACTCTGCACTTCTGGGTCAAGATGGGATAAGAGTGTCCTGGGCCCTACTCTCAGCCTGAGCAAGGGTTTGAAGTCTCAGGGGAAAGAGCCTGAATCCAGGCACCCCAGGAAGTGTGAGGACCATGCTTCAATCCCTCAGGTCTGTATACCTTCACAACAACAAGCTAGCAGATGCCGGGCTGCCTGACAACATGTTCAATGGCTCCAGCAATGTCGAGATCCTCATCCTATCCAGCAACTTCCTACGTCATGTGCCCAAGCACCTGCCACCTGCCCTGTACAAGCTGCACCTCAAGGTGATGAGTGGAGAGGTTGGAGGAGGGGGAATAGACCCATGGCCAGGGCACCAGAGCCAGGAGCTGCAGGGGAGAAGCCTGGCCCACATGGGCATGGGGCTGCCAAGTGAGTCTCAGGGCATGCTACAGGAATATGAGGCACCTCAAGGAACAGGCAAAAGCTTGGGTACCTGACCTTCAGTGTGGGTTGTATGGGGACTGACAACACACCCAGATGCTACAGGTCTGAGTCCCCTTCTGGTGGCCTCCAAGCTCCTCTCCTGAGGCCAGGTTCTTACCTCTGCCTCCTTTTCACATCCCCCTTAGAACAATAAGCTGGAGAAGATTCCCCCTGGGGCCTTCAGCGAGCTGAGCAACCTGCGTGAGCTGTACCTGCAGAATAACTACCTGACTGATGAGGGCCTGGACAATGAGACCTTCTGGTGAGCCCTGTATCCTCAGTGTCACCATGGCACCTAGCAGGCTCCTTCTTTGTTTTGTCCGAGCTAGGCACAGTCATGTTCACCCACTTCCCTGATGCTTTCCCTGGAGAAGGATCTTTGAGTCATGCCTGTTGGCATTTCTGCCCCCAGGAACAAGTCATCTCAGGGCTGCTGAGATGGCAGGGAGTCAAAGATGTGTTCGCAGAGGTGGACTGCTTGGTATAAAATAAAAACTCAAGCATTCTTGTTAAAAGGCAAATATGTTTTCATTTCAGAGTGTCCAAAATAGCCCCCACAGGCTAACCTAGGTTTCAACAATGGTCTTCAAATCAAATCAACTCCTATATGTTAGAAACCATGCTAGATCCCCCAATACTAATAAACCATTAAGTCAAACCCAGAGGGATTCTCAGAGTGGACTGCAAGCAGTGGCAGAGCTGGGGGCCGGGGCAGGGTTACAGGCAGCTCCTGCTACTTCCTTGGGAACAGAGGTGGGAAGAAACAAGGTGGGATGTGGGCTCCTGCCAAACATTCCAATTCCCTCCTTTCCCCAGGAAGCTCTCCAGCCTGGAGTATCTGGATCTGTCTAGCAACAACCTGTCACGGGTCCCAGCGGGTCTTCCCCGCAGCCTGGTCCTCCTACACCTGGAGAAGAATGTGATCCAGAGTGTGGACGCCGATGTGCTGACGCCCATCCGCAGCCTCGAGTACCTGCTCCTGCACAGCAACCAGCTGCGGGCGGAGGGCATCCACCCGCTGGCCTTCCAGGGCCTCAAGCGGCTTCACACCGTACACCTGTACAACAACGCACTGGAGAGTGTGCCCAGTGGCTTGCCCCGCCGCGTGCGCACCCTCATGATCCTGCACAACCAGATCACAGGCATTGGCCGTGAAGACTTCGCCACCACCTACTTCCTGGAGGAGCTCAATCTCAGCTACAACTACATCACCAGCCCGCAGGTGCACCGGGATGCCTTCCGAAAGCTGCGCCTGCTACGCTCCCTTGATCTGTCGGGCAACCGCCTGCAAACACTGCCTCCAGGCCTGCCCAGAAACGTGCACGTGCTGAAGGTCAAGCGCAATGAGCTAACTGCCCTGGCACGGGGGTCACTGGCTGGCATGGCCCAGCTGCGGGAGCTCTACCTCACCGGCAACCGACTGCGCAGCCGGGCCTTGGGTGCCCGCGCCTGGGCGGATCTTGCTGGTCTGCAGGTATGGAGAGGACTGGGCTGTGTAGGGTTGGGCTGTGAGTATGATTGCACAAAACCTACTCATCTGCTGGGATTAAGTGAGGGCTGTTCCAGGAGCGAGGTTCCTGTGGGATAGTCAGACTGAGCTCACCCACCATTGGATACCGGCTGGGGAGGCTGGCCGTAGAGTAGGGGACTATGGGCCATGCAACCCAGTCTACTGGTCGGTGCAAGAACTAAGGTCAGAATGAACACAGAAGCCTGTATCTGGGGTGACTGGGCCAGCTCACCACAGGCAGAACCAGGCTTGAAGGGATGGTGGAGGTAAGAGAGGGTCATGGCTGCAGGTCCTGGTTCAGGAGGGCTGGGGGCCAGTTCAGGCAGCATAGGAGAGTCCATATCAGTCATCTGAAGTACAGGAGTAGGTGCTTGCCGGGTTGGAGATTGGGGCATTGCCCACATTGGCCTTACCAGTCAACAGAGAGCCAAGGTGAGAAAATCTGGCAAAGGCACTCCGAGGCTGGACCATGGGCATGACTGATATGGCCACGCAGGGATGTCCCCAAAGAATCAGACTTCTTTGGGGAACAAGAAGAACCTCCTACTCAGTAAATAGGTGAAATTCATCCAAAACGCTGGAGAGGGCGAGGCACTGCAGTATAGTTGTGATGGCTTGTCCTCAGCCTGCCACAGCCACTCCTCTTCATGACAGACCTGACAGAAGCTGAGGGCCCCCACGTTGCTGCCCCTGCCCCCTCAGACCTCATCAGGGCCTGCTCTATTCTCCTGGACTCTGCTTGGATGCCAGCTCCTAAGACCTTCCTCTGCACTGTTCTTCATACGCCACATCCTCCAGGCGTGGATCTGTGGCTTGTCTGTTGTCTGCACTCTGGGTAGAATAAGGGGCCCATGTTTTACATTAAAACATTTTTTTGACAGAGTCTCACTATGTAGCACTGGCTGGCCTTGAATTCACATAGATTCACCTGCCTCTGCCTCCAGAGTACTGGGATTAAAGGTATGCACCACAGGTGTGTACCACCGTACCTGGCCTGAGGCCAGGTTTTTTAGTCTGCAGCACTCACCGCTGGCTGTGGTGGTGGGAATTACCATCCGGACTGGAGTGTCTGCACAGAGTGTCTGGGACAGCTGGAGACAAGGAGAGGCCAGGGGATACCCTGAGCTGAGCAGGGTGAGGTGGTTAAGGCAGCCCACCAGCACCTAACCCAGTTACAATATTCCTTGACTGGACTCAGCATGTGCAGTCAAGGAATGCATCTTGAAGAGCATCAGCTCACACATGCTGTTGCCCTGATTTCCATAGCTCCCTGCCGCCCTTGGGACCAAGGCCAGACTCCCTGCCATGTTGTCCAAGACTCTCTGCCCTGCTTCCAGCACACACTGGCCCTTCTGCTGGAAGTACCTTCCCTACCATACTTACTGGAGATGTTTGTTCATTCATTCATTCACTCCAAAGTCTGGAAGAGTCCCCACATTGTACTAGATACCTTTCCAGAGCTGGTTACCCTATGAAGAATGGGTCTTGTGAGGGAACACTTAGGACTCAGCTGGAGTGTCATCCTGTCTAGGTAGCATCCTTCCCCTCTAGGTGGGATAGGCAGGCCAGATACCTCCCTGGGCCTCAGCCTGTGTTGTCTGGTGAGGTAGCAGGGATTCTTTCTCATGGGTCTTTTGATAGGTAGCCAGCCATTCCTGCTGCCTCAGATCCACCCTGTGCTTACTGCTCTGGCCCAGAACTGGGTGAGGCCCTTTCCCACTCTCATCAGCCAAGCCCACAGCTTGTTTTATCAGACTTTGATCCAGCTCTACATCCCATCTGACTTTCTGAGGGTGGAGATGGTGGCTCATGGAGTCCAGGTGCCCTGCACCCATGGGTACCATCCATGACTAGAAAGCATGAGGGAGTGCTAACACTGAGAGTGGGGATGGTGCTAAGGACTGTAGACACACTGGGAAACAAGGAGCCCTGTGGGTAGGGGAGGTGACAGGGTTGGAAGCTTGTGTTCCCCTACACTCCTGATTCCAGCTCACCCAGCTATGTGGATTCAAGGCCCCCACTGGATTCTGACCCTGAATTCCAGCCTCTCAGGGTGCTGATGGAGCTTAGAGATTAATTAATCCTGCCCTGCAGAAGCACTGGTGTGGATCTGGTAAAGGTTACCGACACGCCATGTGGCAGCAACAGTAACCACAAAGCCAGCGTAAGCTGGGTCTCCTGTTCACTGTAGATGTTTCTACAGGAAACCTGCCCCACTTCCCTGCCTATGGCTCCTGGACTCCATGCATTTGGTGACTGAGCCCAGCCAACCTGGAGCCTGCTTATTGTGACAGGATTGCTGCAAGCCTTGCACCCTTACTCCTGGCCCCTGCACATGTGACCTGCATATGCGGTCCCTGAGATCTATAAATGAGTAACACCCACACATTCCCCTCATCTATGACCAGTGGGGCAGATTCAAGGGCTAAAAGGCCTGTGTACAGGTTCCTGGAGGCCAGAAGAGGGTGTTGGATCTCCTGGAACTAGAATTACAGGAAGTTGTGGGTGCTAGGAACAGAACTCAGGTCCTCTAGAAAAGCAGCAAACACTTAATTGCTGAGCCATCTCTAGCCCCATGTTTTTTCGTTTTTTTATGACTGGGTCTCACTAAGTTGTCCAGGCCTATCAAATCTGATCTTTCTGCTTTAAGTTTTCAGGTAGCTGGGATGCTAGGCCTGGGCCACCAGACCTGGCTTGTCTTAGTAAAGTGTGATGGGAGTGACAGGTGTGATAAGGAGGAAGGACTGTGACAACCAAACATCTTGGCTATGACTTTAGATACAAAGTCAGAAGGAACTGGGTAGGAGTCTGGCAAGTGGGTTCCAACCTCTGACAAGCTGTGTGACAGATTACTTAACTTCTCTGAGCTATTTCCCAATCTGGAAAATGGGGATAGTCAGATCCTCTCCTCACCAGGGTTATCATTAGATTTGGATAGGCTGCGTGCAGGTCAGTGAGAGTTTGGTAAGCTTTCAGTGCTTTGCACAGGTGGGAGTGTGACTCCCCTGATCACCTCTGCAGCTGCTGGATGTCGCTGGGAATCAGCTCACAGAGATCCCCGAGGGGCTCCCCAAGTCGCTTGAGTACCTGTACTTGCAGAACAACAAGATTAGTGCGGTTCCTGCCAGTGCCTTCGACTCCACCCCCAACCTCAAGGGGGTCTTTCTCAGGTAGGACGTCCCTGTGCAGCCCCCACATGCAGCCCCTGGGAGCACATCCAGCTCCAGAGGGACTCAGGGGAATTGCTCAAAGACAGAGCATGGGTATGGAGCCCGGCTTCGACACTGGCCTTGAGCCCTGAGTATACTGTAGGACCCTATGAGCCCTTGTTACCTCAGCAAGGATGGGCACAGCAGGCCAGGCCTACCGTGACTCAGGTTTGTAAGTAGGTGTCAGAATCATTAAGGATAGAGTATTATTGATGTTAATGTGGCATTGAGGGGACCCCAGAGAGCATCTCCCCAATCCATACCTGGGAAGATATGGCTGACTGCTGTGTCCATACCAACCAGGTGGGGCCCAAGTCTCAGACCCAGAGCACACATGCTCAAGTCCCCATTGGGCTCTGGGGATGGGGCTCCAGGGGACCCAGAGCCCAAAGGATATAGCTTCTTCCTAATCACACCCACACCTCAGCTCAGCTCCCCAAATCAGATAGGAAGAGGAACAGGGGAGAGCAGAAATCCCAGGGCAGTGACACTGGAGTGGTGTGAGCAGAACCTGAAATCAGGGCTGAGTGAATCCCTGGCCAGCTCATCCATGGCCTTGCCTGTGTGCCAGCCAGGCCTTGGTGTTAGTGCCCGAGGGTAGCAGAGGCAATTCCCATGTCTGCCACGCAGATGTAGTGAGAGTGTACACAGAGGGAAGCTTCCCCCCTAACTTTTGGGGTGACAGCCCTCTACTTTTCCCTGCCCCCAAGCTCTTGATGTCCTAACAGGTCAGCTTCCCATGGTGTACCATGCTTCTTGGTTCCCCACCTTTTCAACTTGCTGTGCCATCCTCTGGACACACTCCCTGCCCTTTTACCTTCTGAGCCGGGTGAGCAATGGGACCTAGCCTGGGCTCCTGACACTGACCAGTGGACTGCTGCCCAGGTTCAACAAGCTGGCCGTGGGCTCCGTGGTGGAAAGTGCTTTCCGGAGGCTGAAGCACCTGCAGGTCTTAGACATTGAAGGCAACTTTGAGTTTGGTGACATTTCCAAGGACCATGGCCGCTTAGAGGAGGAAGAGGAAGAAGAGGAGGAGGAAGAGGATGATGAGGAAGAGGACAGGAGATAGTGACAAAGTGACCCAGATCTGACCCAGGTGGGTGGTCTATGTGGCCATGGTGCTCATCTCTCCCCATAATCCTGTCCTTGGCCTCAGTCTAGGGTTTCTATAGTCTTCTCCCTGTCCTCTATTCTGTTTGTCCCTTCCCTTTGCAAACCTATATGTTCATTTTGCATGTTGGATGCACCAGGCCCATGGGAGAGGTTGAGGGGTGACAGCAAGCCCAGGGAGGTCAGCTCATGCCATAGCATTCAAGCCCAGGGAGAAGTGCTGTGCCAGGAGCCACCCCAAAGCAGGGTAGACATGTGAGGCTGGGGTTCAGGATGGAAGGCTGGGCCAGAGATGGGGAAGCAGGTCTTGAGATAGGTACCCAAACTGGGGGCTGGAAAGACTTCTCCAGAGGGAGGGGGCAGCCACAGGCAGCCAAGGAACAGGGAGTTTGCACACACATGTAACACAGGCATCTATACATGTGCACATGTACACATACATCACTTCCAGGACATATTGCAGGCACTACCATGTACACACTTGCATACACAAGTATGTCTGTATGAGTACATGCATAGACATGCCACCTGTGGGTACCCGTGCACACAGGCCTTACGTATGGACACACATCTGCACACATGCCTGGTGCATGCATAGGCTTTTCCAGAATTGGGCGTCTCAGCTATATCAGTATTGCTGGGAGGCTGAGGGAGCACTGCCAAGCCCAACTGGATATGTCTACATCGATTCCCCCATGACTTCATAGGGCATGACTGAGGGCGAGGTGGGGGTAGAGCGAGTGGCTGAGAAGGAGGGAGTACATTCACTCTGGGGGAGGCTAGAGCAGGAGCTTCCCAGTAGAGGGAAGGCCGTGTGAAGCTCTTGAAGGAGCACTGTGCTTGCTGCTCCTTTGGCACTGGAACTGGTGGAGCTGCTGTGGAAGGAGGTGCAGTGAGGATAAGAGCAGGTATGATGGCTGCTGTGGGGGTTGTGGGGGGCTAGTGCCTCTCCCACTACAGCAGGAGGGTTAAGTGGCTGCAGTCACAGGCAGGTAAGCAGTTTGGTGGCTGGATAGGAGGTCACATGAGCCTGAAGCCACCAGACTTCTGTCTTCTCCATGCAGTGGGAGGTGCCCAGCAGAGAACTGAATCTATCCATGGCTGAGGTTTTCACTAGGTTCCTGGGACCAGGAGGACAAGGAACAAAGAAATGGAGTATGTTGGCAGGCCCTGTGCTGAGGTCTAGGCTGGACAGAGAAGAGAGACAGATGGAAGAGTTGGTAGCAGGGACATGGGAAGGGTGCTGGAACCTGGGCAGATGGTAGGGAGCAGCTAGGCAGAGAGCAGTGGTCAGAGGGGCTATCTGAGGTTAATTAGGACTCCAGTGAATATGCTAGGGGTCACAAGGCCAGGATATGGCCATGGGAGGGGGCTGTTGGCCATGACCACCATTAGGATATTGACTTGAAGTAGGGCCTGGGGAAGAGAGGACCCCATAGTGGGGGGCTGTTGATGGATAAAGATGGTCCTGTGGGTAAATGATGGGGACAGGGTGTCCACTGATGAGAGTGAGCAGCATGCATGGCAGGGTTGTGAGCATGAGGGCCAGTTATGGTGGTAGAGCCCTTCTCCTGAGGCACTATCCCCTGGGACAGGAACAGCAGCAGGGGGTAACTGCTGTATTCCATGAGGATTCTCTGGCTCTAATGAGAGGAACAGTAGAGTTCTAGAGTCAGGGAGAATCTTCTCCTTTTGGGGGATGTTGGCCATGGTCAGGTCAACCAAGTAGGATGCTGGGAGAAGCCCCAGGGAGTTCTGGGCCCAAGGCTGGGTACTTCCCTCTGGCTCTAGATTCCCAGGGACACCTTACTCATAGTACCCTGGCTTCCTAGAGCCCCCTCATTCTAATCTATCTTCTGCAACGCTGGTTTTAACTGGCCCTGACTCTCCAACATGTTCCACAGGATGATGGACCACTGGATTCCTTTCTGCAGCCCAGGCCTGTGCCCATGTGTGCCCCCTTCTGCCACACCCAGCGCTGAGCCCAAGAGGCATCCTGAATGCCACAGGCTGAACATAATCTTGGGTTCCACCCCTTCCTGCATTATGTCACACAGCCAGACACGAGCAGACACTAACTTGGCCATACACAGCCAGCTGCATGTCACCTTCTAAACAAGTCTTCTGCCCAGGCCCTCATTGCCACACACTTGACCTCTGAGTCAATGCAGGGCCTGGCCTGGCACACTCAGGCAGCCACTCTCTGCTTCACACACACACACACACACACACACACACACACACACATACACATACACACACACACACAAACAGTGGCCTATGCCACCAACACAGCCAGAACTGACCAGAACAGCTGACCACATGCCACACCCTCTGTCATCTGTCCCTTGGAGACTCAGGGTTGTCTCTTTTCTCTGGCCAGGTGCTTCCCACCCTCTGAGACTCACAAAAGCTGGCTTTTGTTCCTTGCCCTCTCTCTGGGGATAAGAACCTTCTGACTTCTACTGGTGGCTTTGCCCCCTCCCTCTGGTGCTGGGTGATCTCCCTTCTTGCTGTGCCCTGGCAGGCCACAGGCACTTTCTGAGGATGACCTCAAGAAAGCGGAGGGAGGGAGGCAGCAGTGTGGGGCTGGGAGGAGCTGGAGGAAGGGCCCAGCTGCATTGTTCTTCAGGTCTGCAGGGAAGTTCTGGACACTTTCGGTTTTGTTTAAGAAAAAAAAAAAAGATAAAAATCTTTTTTTACCTGTTACAGAAAAACTAATATAAAGCATTATCCCTGCCCTTGCAGCTACACTGTGTCCGTGTGTGCTTCTGGCCAGGTATTGGGCTTGTGTCCACAAAGGGAGGGTGAGATCCAACATGCAATACCTGGGATAAGGCCAGGACCAGGACTTGGGGTACCCACAGGACTTGCACAGGCAGAGGGAGCATAGCAGTAAGTCAGGAGGGCCTGATATGTGCACCTGCAGTGGGTGGAAATGTGTTTGTAGGGCTGAGTCACTGCACAGGCCTGTGTCCTCCCCTGGTTGTCACAAGCTGAGCCTCCTTGGGGCAGAGGACCAGCTGGACTTTGGGCTGTGGAGGGCTCACATGGAGAGTCACCTTTGCATGAAAGTACTGTTACTGATGCAATTTGTGCTGCCAAAGTGGGGAGGAGACAGAAAGCAGGTCTGAGAGTTGGCGCAGAGCTGACTTGGGGACAAGGTCTCTGCAGGTCTTCTGAGGGAAGAGGTAACAGACATACCCAGTGTACTTCCCAGTGTGGGAACAGAGGGGGCCTTGGGTAGGATGCTGCAGGGAAGCCTCACCTAGCTGCCATCTAGGGACCTCCCTGCCCCTGAAGGTATGTGAGTACTTGCCAAAAGTCAGCCAAAACTCGGACTTCTACCTTGTGGCTCACAGGTGAGGGGAGTGCCAATTCTTCAAAGGTCTTAGATGTGATTCAAGGAAGGACAAACGAGTCTGTCCCCATGAAGGGAGAAGTGACTGGCTGGGCATCTGATCTCTCCTAGTTAGCCCTCAACAAAGGAAGGACATCTATGGTGGTCCTGCCAATGGGAGGGTAAGTCCTAGAGCCAAGGCCCTTCCTGGACTCTTCATACTATCCTGGGAGAAGGGTGGGTATATTGGTCACTTTTCTGTTGCTGTGACAGAAACACTGACCCAAGCAATTTATAGAAGGAAAACAGTTTATTTGAGCTTACGGTTCCAGGGGAATTATATCCCATCATGGCAGGGAGGCATGGTGGCTGGAGGTGGCTGGAGCAGGAGCAGCAGAAGCTGAGCTCTCACAGCATCACACAGGCACAGGACGAAAGAGAGCGACTGGAGATCTGGCAAGGCTTAAGAACTCTCTAAGCCCACCCCAGTGATATGCTTCCTCCAGGATAGCCACACCTTCTAAAACCTCCCAAAACAGCGCCATCATCTGGGGACAAAATGTCTTAAATATTTGGAGCCTATGGGGGGGGCATTTTCATTCAAACTACCACAGTGGGTATAGTTGAAGGGTAAAGGCATGTGCCCTTGAGTGACCCAGGAGAGGCCTGTCTCCTCTCTGGTATCTGGAGACCCCGGAACTGTGTCTGCCCTGTAAGGCACAGCTAGAGCTGTGTGGCAAGAGCCTTTCCTCTGCCCACAGGCCTTTGGAGGCACCCAGGGCCATTATAATGAAGGAGACTCTGGACAGCTCTTGGGCCCAGCCTCTCTCTAAGGTAAAGCATTAATCAAAGGCAGCCACTGGTTGAGATTTCTTCCTTTCCTGGGGTCTGATCAAGAGCCCAGGCCAGACATGGATAAGGAAGTCTGTCTACATCACTCCTAGACAAGGTCCATCAACAGTCAGGCCTGTTGAGATACCCTGGGGTATGTTAGTTTATACTCTGCCTTCTGCGTATGACACTCAGACAGGCTTGTTCTCACTGCAGCCACTGGGACAGGCTTATCTGTTCTCTGACAGCTTAAATTAATGCAATAAAAAAATGCTGCTCAGGGGATGGAGAGATAGCTCAGTGGGTTAAGAACACTTGCTGTTCTTGTAGAAGACCCGGGTTGGATTCCCAACACCCACATGGTGGCTAACAACCATGTATAACTCCAATTCCAGGGAATCCAATGCCCTCTTCTGACCTCTGCAGTCATTGCCCAACACAGGTGCACTTACATACATACAGGCAAAACACTCATACACATAAAATAAAAATAATAAATAAAGGGCCTGG